TAAGGCACTTGTTACTAGTAGCGATGCACTTGTTCCTAGTAGCTTCTAGCCACCAATAGCTACTCAATCCGAGCCTTTTCGGTGACTCAGCAAGGCGACTCCTCGGGCGGAGCCTCGGCCTTATCGATGCTGCTGCAGCTCAGCTCCAAGGCCCTCATGGTGCGTCCTAGACTTGCTCCTAGTTCCAATTCTAATTGAATTTAACTTATGTTATTCTTGTTTCTATTAGCTTCTTGCTCCTCGTAGCGATGGCCTCCAAGCTACTTGCAATGGCCTCCATCTAATAGATCTAATAGCATCCTTGCTACAGTCTCTGCACCGATCTGTCGAAGCAAGTTGCCCATCTTTAACGGAATCAAGCCTTTCCCATCCTATCTTCCTGTTGGAGTGTGACCGAATTCGCCCTTCTCGCGCACCGCGCACCAGGGACTTCCATTGGCGGCGGGCTTCTTCGCCTTTAGTCCCTGGATCAACCTCGCCTGCAACTCTCCCACGTGCGCAGATGGCGTCGACGGTGCTCGGATTCACCGTGTGGGTCCGAGTGCCATGGTGTCGCAAGTCGCAGCGGGTGTGGCCTCCAAACCGAAGCAGGTACTACAGCAATGCCTTCTCTGTGGTCAATGATGTCGCTGGAAAGGTGGGCGATCCGAGGTCTACAGCGATGTTAGGTCGCTGTTGGCAACATGTCTTGGCTCCAAGATGGATCAGGATGATGAGAATCTCGTAAGATGTCTAGGATGCATTGAGAGCTTTCAAGGATTTTCGTTCGTTTTTTATGGAGAGATCTTGAGCCTTGTCCCCGGCTGCAAGTTGTAAGAACTGACACGTCTCCCCTGGTTCGCTCCGGTGGTATGTGGACCACTTCACCGAAACAGATCATCGTGGGCGACATTCTCTTCCGTGGCGCTCCCACGAACGTGTCCCACTCGCCCGGGAGCCCGCAGAAGACGCCCAAACGGCGACAGAAACCTCCTCCGGTTCGGAACGGGGGAGACGGTGCTTCTCGAAAAGACGCACCGACATGTTTGACGGATCCAAGAAGACGAAAGGGTGCATGTCGAGGCAAGAGAGGGAGAGATCGTCATGTGGTAGAAGTAGAGTTTTGATTTATAGGATTGGTTTCACACCAGGTTTCACACTGACGTACCGTGACATCATCGATTTTCGGGTTGATTTTGCTCAAGTGGATTGTTCAAGGAAGCTTGGTTGCTCCGTCTTCTGGTCCAATCCAAGTACCATGGGGACCATGGGGTTGGTCTTGTTTCGCCGGTCGAGAGATGAAGCCGCACCCTTGGGTGTCTCAAGCTCGAAGCTTTGACAAGCTTCGAAGATCAAGCAAGAAACCGACTGGTATGCTGTATGCATATATCCATATTGTGTGATATATACCTTGATCCATTTCTATGTAGACCTTGAATCAACTAATTGTTTTGACCTCCCCTCAACTCGGGGCAAGGAGTGGCCAAGAAAGGCACTGAATCTGTCTGTTTGGGAAGATCAAAGCTGAACTATCTGAGTTTCATTCAGTTTCCAAGGCCGCTGGACTTAACCCCTGACGAACAAGAACACCTGGACCTCTCTATTCATATCTCTTTCTTCAGCGTCCTCCTTCTTTGGACATCTTCCGCATCGCCCTTGTGAGGCTTCGGGAATTGGCGCTGAAGTACTTCCAGGGCGATGCCAGCAGGTGTGTGGGGCGCGCGGGGGGAAGTTCGCCACGGGGGGTCCAGGCGCCTTCGGCTGGACCGGGCGAAGCGCCGGGGGACACGACTGGTCCACCTGGTGGGAGTCATCCACTTCGTGAGTCATTTTGATTCTCAGAGTTCGTTTTCGAACCTGGAATGAGGATGAAGTCCAAAACGAGTCGAAGCACACCATGCGAAGACACCACAAGGCCCCTTGGTGGTTCGTTCGGTTCGTTCACCTGGGATGGATACTGGTCATTTGGTCGCCAGGCTGTCGGATCCTCTCTACTCGCCCTTCCACGCCACAGAGGCCAGGTGCTGGGGTGGAGCGATATCCAAAAGACTTACTCCAAACGTTCTTTGAAAGAAAGGGAACACAAAAAAAAATGGCCTCTGCTCCTGGCGTTCTTTCTTTCGAAGCATCGACCTTCGAGCGGATGATGTCCCCCTTCGCAGCGCCGATGGTCCGGCGATGGTCGCTGCGATCGGTCAGGCGCAACTGGACGAGTTGCCCCCGATCTACCTGGCCGTGAGCGGCAGCGAGGTCATGACAGGCGCGGTGGCCCCGGGGCCGCGCCGCGGGGCCGGCGATGTGGGCTGACTGGACGAGGCTTTTGGGTTTGAAGCGTTGAACCCAACGGGGGTGAACCCTCCGGCCGCAGGTGATAGCACAGTCTTCGGGGAGAGGGCGGCCGAACGTGGGGTGCGCGTGGGGGTTCCCAGAAGTGGTGCCAAGTGACGGGATGCAATTGAAGGGCCTTGGGAATCTGTAAGGTGCATCGCTACTAGTAGCAAGAAGCTAGTAGGTTGGAGGCCATTGCTACGTAGCAAGAAGCTACTAGTAGCTCCTGGCATTTCTACTAGTAACAAAAAACTACTATACTTACTATAGTAACATCTAGTAACTAGTTTCCAACGATTGTGGGGTCACGTGGATGCCAAGGTCTACATCTCCATGTTCCCAAGTATGTGGCATGGCTTCCAGCAGTACATCGAAGGCAAGGAGCAGCGCCGGCAGTGAAGAGTAGGAAAGAGGTGGCTGGGTTCGGCGCCGTTGTGTTTCCAGGCTTTCTATAACTTCCGTCTTTGAAACCTGTTGCAAGATCTTCTCACGAGAAGTTCGGTACCTACTTTCAGGAGTTCCACTCAGAAAGTTTTACAAGAATATTCCAGGCTTCAAACCTCAAGGAGATCCATGGCTCCTCGACCTTAGAATCTTCCACAGATCTCCAGCTTGTCGTTGAACCTGGGAAGCAAAACTCACCCAGAATGCGGAAGCGATGACCTGCATCGGTCTCTGCCAGGTTGCGGCTCTGGAAAGGAGTTGTGGCAAGGCATCACAGCTTTGAGGTGGGAAGTAATGACTTCCAAAAGCTCTTAGGTTGGAGGCTATCGCTATTAGTAGGTTGGAGGCCGCTACTAGGTTATTGCTAGTAGGAAGATGCCTCTATTCTTGTTGTCAGCTTTCTTCTTTTGGAAAGTCTCAAGAATGCGACACATCTCGCGTTTGTCACCTCGGTATTTCCTGAAACATCCCCCGGACCCTCAGCGGGAGTTTTCACGGTGACTTCCGATCATGTGGGGAGATGGAGTACTAGTTGTTGCTCCTTTCTACAGGGAACAGGGGCATAGTAACAAGAAGCTACTAGTAGCAAAGGGCACCACTAGTAGTAGTTCCTCTCTCCTAGCAGAAAGCTTTAGTAGAAAGCTCCTTGTCTTTTTCTTCCAAAGCTCGCTCGGATGCACGGCGCCAACGCCAACGCGCGACGCGCCCTTGGCGGCGCCAGTCATGCGGGGGATTTCGTCTCTCAGATCACCAAGTACCTCCGTTCTCGCCGGTCACCCCAGTGGGCAGGGGCGGCTCGGGCGACATCAGAGCAAATAGAGGTCATTCAGGTTGTAGCGACGTGCTATACATTGACGACATGCCACGCATCCCCGCGAGCGAGCTTCATGGTGACCTTTGTGGCATCCGAATCAATGCGACGCTCTATGGCTCTACACAGCTGTGCAAAGAAGACCATGAAGCAGAGCTGTGCAATGAGTTCATGAAAACGGAGCCTCTCCAAAGACTCGTCTTGGCAGTGACTTCCTCGACCTTGGCCTTTTTGGGCGAAGCTTTCAGCATCTTGGGCCGTTTGAAGACCTCCAAAACCCACGGATTGGCCAAACCACGGCACCCATTTCATTCGGGCGACCGACCGGTGATGGGGGAAGAGGCGCCGGAGCAGGAGGGGGCGGCGTGGCGGGCGAAGGGTGCGAGTATGGAGCTGGTGTTGATGCCCAGTGAAACAACCGCAGGTTTCAATAGGACTCTGAGGTGAAGATGAATGCCAGAATCCCGCTGTGTGTCTTTTGGAGAACTCACACGGATCGTTGGAGAATCCCGCTGGTTTGTGATGTGTTCGTTTTCCGCACTTGGCAACATGGCATTCGTCGTCCCCTTCGAACTCGTGTTGAACCTGGGCTGATTTAAAGATATGGGTGTGTATTTGAAGGTAGACAGACTGGGTAGACTTATTCCCTTCCTCACCTTCTTCCAGGGGGTTGTTGCCTGAGAGGTTTCCCTATTTCAATGTACTCCCATGCATTGGGGCATGGAACACACCGCCAGAATTCTGAAACGAACAGCTCCAAGAGGATTCGACCGAAAGTCGACCTAACTTAATAGCGATGGCCAACCTAGTAGCTTCTTGTTCCTAGTAGCGATGCCCTTTGCTACTAGTAGCGTCCTCCCCCCCGCGCGCGCGCGCGCAAAAAGGTCCTAGTAGATTTCTTTGCTAGTAATTACAAGTGCCTCGCTAGTAGTAACAAGTGCCTTACTAGTAGTAACAAGAAGCTATTAATTGGAATTCTAATTAAATTCTAATTGTTACTACTAGTAAGGCACTTGTTTCTAATAGCTTCTTGTTACTAGTAGCGATGCCCTTTGCTACTAGTAGCGTCCTCTTGTTTCGGGTGGAATCGAAAAATCAACTCTTGGAGCCCAGGAGCCCAGCGTGAAATTGGGGAAATACGTGGGCAGGCAGATGTGACTGTGTCGGGCCTCCAATCGGAGAAGAACGAAGTTTCATTTGATTTGCCATGTGTTTTCTTGCCTTTCAAGTTCACAGAGTGGTTTTTCACAAAGCTCCGCTGCTTGGCAGCCGCCATGTTGGCAATGCGGGCCATCGATGTGATTGATCTTTGCCGACATATCGATTCTGAGTGAGAGGACATCTATTCTATTCATTCATCTAAATCTAGATGATGTACGAGCAAGCATATCATCCCTTCTCATCCCTTCTCCCTCCTACTATTGCCTATAGGTTGGAGACCATCGCTAGTGCCGCTAGTAGGTTGGAGGCCATTGCAGCGAGCATACCATCCCTCCATCGGTGGTTTTGGGGCGCCAGGAAATCGGATCATTCCTGTCCGGGGGATCACGTGACCTGGGAGATCCTGCTGTTGCCGGAGGGCGCTTGCCGGATCGAGTGCAGGACGGATCGGATTGGTGTGAGTGGAAGCTGTCCTTACTCAGACGGTTTTGCTCTGAGTGGTGTTCCTTAAAGGGTGTGGAAATGAAGCATTCTGCAAGAACTCTGTGGTAGAAAGGAAAAAGAATGGTCTCAAAATTGAAAAGCCAGGAAAGAACAGGTACAAAAGGGAAAGGAAAGAAAGATGCTTAGTTCCTGGTCTTCGGAATACTCTTTTCTCGTTTACAGCCTTAGGCTCAGCCACTGTCCCTGTTCCTCCCTCCATCTCCCGCCAGATCCGAGTTGTCACCCTCCAAGGGCGGCACCCAGGTGGGGCACCGTGCGTGAGACGACCTGCAAACAGCGAATTCCACGGTGTCTTTCGTTTGTTTTCTTTGAATTGCTCAATTGATTGGGGAGTTGGGTTGGGAGCTGCACCGAGCTCAGTTCCGAACCACAAAAAAAACACCAAAAAAGACACATGTTTGACGCTTGTTTTCTTCTCATCCTTTCTCGGAATGCTCCGTGGAAACCCCGAGCACCTTTCGCTCGCTTCTTCGCTCGGCTGGAACGCAGGCGTGGCAGGTCGAAGGGACCTGGATTGAGGACGGTGGTGAAGGGCCAGATGAATGGGCTCGTACTGTTGGGTCCTGCCAGTTTAAGTGCCTCGCTAGTAGTAACAAGTGCCTTACTAGTAGTAACAAGAAGCTATTACAGATCTCATCACTCTTTGAAGCAGAAACCGGTGGAGTGGGACCAGGGAGTTGATAGGGTCAGTTCTGGTTTTGAGGAAAGGCTCTATGCCAGGATGCCACGTTTGCAACACACCGGCTCGTGGTGTTCAGGAGGATGATGATGTGGTGGTGACCATCACCAAGGAGGAGCGATGTCAACAGATCTGTCGTGGATACGTCGAGCTTGTAAAGTGTCAGTTCCTGAGATGCAGAGAGCTTTCTGCACCAGCAGAGTGGAATAGATGCAGAGTGGCTGGCATGGCGAAAATAAGTACACTCCCTGGAACTCACATGGTTGGCATGGCATGGGCCCCGACAACAAAAAAGAACATGAAATCCTCCAAACCAGGGGGTGCCATCCACATAACCATGTTGGTTCCAGGGAGGGTCAAGTCATCAACTTTCGACCGTTCTTTGTTTCTTCACGGCCACATGGATCTGCCGACCCTTCCGACGTGGTTCGCATGTTGGAGGACCCGTTAGGAGGCCCCAAATGTGATCGTGACATCGAGTTGTCGGTGGATGATCCTCGGCTGTCGGAGGTGGGCATTGGAGGCCAAGGGGGAATGTTTGAGTCGCAGCAACCAAAACTACATGCCATGGCCTCCAACCTAATAGCGATGGCCTCCTTTTGTTTAAAGCGTTCTTTTTGCTGAATGACAAGACTTGCAACCAAAACAGTTGGGATGTTCGTCGTGCGAAATTGAAAAACATCCAAAAGCTTCACCAAGATTTGCTCCTGACGCTACACTTGTGTGGACCTTGACCAAGGATGACGTGCTTACTTTCAAGGCGTGGGTTGGAGAGTTTTTCTTGCGCATGAGACTCAGATGCCAGATTGGTGGGGATATCACGATCCCAACCGTGCCAAGTGTTGCAAGCAAATGGTATGGAGATATTGCAATGAAAATGGAAAGCACGTGGGGATCCTTGTTTGTACGTTACCGTTGATGACCTCACCGTCGGTCAGAAGTGTCCTGAAATGCGAAGCCGCACGTCGGATGCGTCCTTGCAGCAGAAATGGGGAACTGCTTCAGATCGAATATCTTGAAGTCCTTGAGTGTGAAAGGATTCCGTTTCACCGTGCGGGGCGCTTGTTCGGTGTGGCCAGTCCGTTGTCAGGGCGCCAAGTGTCAGTGGACGAGCCCCCCACCGGACGAGTTCTTAGAAGCCATGGCGGCGTTGAGCTTGAAGGAGACAGAGAAGACAGAAACAAGTGCCACGCTACTAGGAACAGGTGCCTTACTAGTAGGAACAATGTTTGCTATTAGAAACAAGTGCCACGCTAGTAGTAACAAGTGCCTTACTAGAAAGACGAGTCCTCCATCCTATACCAGCGATGGCCTCCAACCTACTAGCGATGGCCACAAAAACGAAGAAGTAAAAAATAGTTGAACCGCCGAGTGTTGAGTAAGGGAGCGGGTGCAGCTCAATAGAGGATAGCAAGGACAAAAGGATACAGAAGGTCAAAGGAAAAGAAAGAATATGAAGGACTTGTTGAAGGTCCAAAACAGTTCTACTCGTAACAATGTTCGCTACTAGGGGCTCCTGGCATCGCTACTAAAAGCGAATTGGAGGCCGTCGCTAGTAGGTTGGCCGAAGGTCAAACGGCCCAGCCTAGCGCGGTTCTCCACCTCTTTGGCCCAAAGGAGCTGAAAGCCAAAGCCATCGGCTTCGGCTTGGACCCCACCGGATGCATCGAACGAGAGGACGGATTCGAGGCATTCGGAGTCTTTGAACTGTCTTTTGGTTCTTTGGTCCCTTTGGTCCTTGAGTCTTCTTTCTCTTCCTTCAAACCTTTCTGAGATCGATCCTGAAAGGTCATCCCTTCAAGAACCGACTGGCAGGTGCAGACACCTGAAGGGCCCCAAACTCCGGCGCTTAGGAGTTCTTGGAATTGCTCCGGAGAGGGCGGGACGCCGGAGTGCTCAAGGAGGTGCCGTTGTCCGGTGGGTGGACAAAGCGTACTAGAAGAAGCCAAGTCTTGGGTCGAAGGAGGAGAAACTGTTGGAATGCAGCATATATTGCCATCGCTACTTGGGATGGAGGCCATCTCTAGTAGGTTTGGAGGCCATCGCTACTTGGGTTTCTTTCTTATTCGGGTCTTGGAAGTCTGTTGCGACGCCACAGGCCGTGGCCGCGCCATCGCCCACCTCCCCGGCCTCGGCCGCTTCGGGCTCCGTGTCCAAACCGGAGGCGGGGGCTGGCGGCGAGGATCAGGAGATGAAGGATGAGACGTCAAAACTTCTAGCGATGGCCTCCATCCTAGTTTCAAAAGAAAGAAAGAAAGAAAGAAAGACGTTAAAAGATAGCGCTCGACTCTAGTAACGAGACCCCCCTTGTTGTTTTTAACACAACCGAGCTCGCAAAAAGGGCTCTGGATTGGGACACAAAACAGGGGGGTTGCACAAGGCTGTTTAACACGGGGGAGGCGTTTCTGAAGGCCAGGCGTAGTAAACTATAAAAGAAAGAGATCATCATACTTGTGGACAAAGGAACCGCCTCTGAACTCTTCCGTTTCGTCACAGACACCCAATCAGAGGCCAGCGTTCCTACGGAGAGTCCAAGTCCGAGCCCAGTTGCCAGTTCAGGTGCGAGTGATTGTGGGAGAAACCAAAAGATGTTCCCCCTTGCCTTTTTAGATCTTTGGACATCATTTTTCTTGTGTGTGTTTTCAAACAGATCTTCCTTCTTTCGTCTCTTCCTCTCTTCCTCTTTTCCAAACCATTCAGAACCAAAAAGGAGGAAACTCTTTGATGCGCAGCATACTGTGACTATGTTATGCTCAGATCTGTGGCCGAATGCAAAGCTGTTATGAATGCTCCCTCAGCCCATTGCAATATCTTCAACTTCTTCTTTCCTTTTTTAGAGGCAAATCGTTCCAGAGTGGGGAGCAGCATCGACCGCTTCGCTCCAGGGAAGGCTGCCGAGGCTGCCAGCACGACCAGCGCAGCAGCCGAGGCGCAATCGTCTTTGGCAGACAGAAGAGATCTGAAGAAAGTTCCTTCAGAACTCATTAGTTGATGTTTTACGGGTGAAGGATTCTTTTTGAAGAGATGGAAGCACCACAAGAGATGGAGCCCAATGTTGGACTCCAAAACTCAACCGAAAAGGAGATTCAATCGGGTCTCAGCCGGAAAGGCTTTTCTCACGTGACAGCATGGCAGTGAGGGAACCGATCTCCAGGAGATCCCTGAAGGTTGCTACAGCTTGGAGCCACTCGGAGCAGTTGCGATTTTCGGCTCAGTGCGACCTCGCACGTCGTTTCGGTTCTGCGCCGCTTCAGTGCTTCAGTTCCTTGACGACCCACGGCAAGCTCGGAACCTGAAGAGTTGGGAAGTTCATCGCGGAAAAGTGGGTCCATGAATTCGCATGATCCTTATGTCGTTTCTCTCTAAGATCTTCATGTCGTTCGATATTTGGGGGACAATCAATGTCGGAATTGCATGCCCTTTCCATTCGTTGCTGAACAGCATCCTTCGTGGGAACGTCCCAGAAGCGCGACCAGTGAACCACTCCTGCCAGTCCATTCTGACCGATTCGCTGTCTCCCCTGGTCTTCTCAGCTCTCAGAATTGATGGGCCCAACCTAGAAGCGATGGCCATCCGTTGTCCAATGAAGAATTCTAAAAGCACCATGAACAACCATATACTACCAGAAGGCAATCTGCATGAGGTTGCACACAACCGTCACTAACGATGTGTCATCAAAAACGAAAAACTACTTAAGAAACAAGCACTAGGTGATCTTTGATCCACACCCTGTACATATTGGCTACGCACTATCTTTCACACCCTTTGTTGGATCACTATGCGCCGCCATCTGTCTCTCTTCTTCTTGTTCTTGTTCTTGTTCTTGTTCTTCTTCTTCTTCTTCTTCTTCTTCTTCTTCTTCTTCTTCTTCTTCTCTTTTTCGTTTCATCTGGACAACTAAGGATCAGACATCAACTAAGATCCAAACTCCTGTCCTCAAATCTCGCTCCAAATGTGTGCAACTGAGTTTGCCTGTTGGCGATGGCCGATCTGAGGCAACTGACCGACAAGCGAACCTGGGAGAAGCTGGATGTGGTTTCCACCGAGCGTTCCGGTCCTGAGAGATGAAGATGAGAGACCGAAGAGAGTTCGAGCACTAGCAAAGCCCAACAGAGCAAGCACGCTAAGCGGAAATGTGGTCATGTTCAGCTCAGACCCTTTTTCTCAAAAAAAACTGAAACTCGGGTCTTAGTATCTTGTAGTTGTTTTAGAGATGGGCAGCTCAGGAGAGACCTACTTGCCGGATGGAATCTTCCAGCAACTCTTTGGAATGTCCAAGGCCGACCAACTTTCGATCTGCGAGACTCTTGGCACGCCGCAACTGGAGAACCCATGCAAGCTTTCTTTGCAAATCTTGGCTTTGTGCATGTGCGGAATTGCCAAAGCAAAGTCTCTGTGTTTTTCATCAAAGAAGTCGGTCAACATCCTTTTTGCCAAGAACCTCCATGTCTTACCGCAGGCCGACTTTGCAAAGATGCCAAAGTGGAAAAAGGACGGTGTTTGGTAAATGCACAGTACGCCCAAGAGATGTTAGAGAAAACAAAAATGTGTCTTTTTTGTTTTTCTCTTGGCCTTCCTTGTTCTGAAGCGAGGGGACTCTGGAGGGGAAATAGATACAAGACTGAACATCAGTTTTTACTGGCAATGGTACAGAAGAGCCTGGGTTGTTAGCATGAGCGAATTGGTTGACATAGGAGCAGGTGACTCTTGGTTCACTCCATTGAACAGGTCAACCTTGGGACATTTTAGAAGCCTTTCTTTGATCTTTTCTTCTACTAGTAGCGTCCTTGCTCCGTTCGTAGCGATGCCCTTTATTCCTAGTTAGCGTTCTTGTTCCTAGTAGTAAGGCCTAGTAGTAAGGCCAGGAGCGCCCGTAGTAGCACCCTTGCTGTCCTCGGGGCGCGAGGAGAACGCCAAGAAAAAGCATGGGCTCTTTTGAGCTCCGATTTCAAGGGCTTCGACGAGCAGCCTCTGACAGGTTTGTCGAGCCGTTGGTCTCTGACGGTCGACAGAATTTCCCAATTCTTTAGTTTGCAAGCGCAGTAGCCCATTGGCATTTGGTGATTTCAAATGGGCTTGTTCTCTCCAGAATTGACACACATTCTCAAGATTGTCAAACAAAAAGACAAAACAATTCGAACAAAACTCTGACAAGAACATCGCTTCGTCTCAAACCAGCTTGTTGTTTGCTATCTTTTTCCTAGGATCATTCAAGGTTCAAGCTTCCCAACAAAAGGACACTCGTTTGCATGGTCGGTCGATGAAGTGCCAATGGACCTTGCTGAATTCCACAGCAAACCTTGGGCAGAGCGGGCTGCGCTAAAAAGGAGTGTCGAGTAGCAGGTTGCCTCCATGGCAACGAACTGAACAGCGGACAATAAAATATTCAGCCAAAGCGCCACATAAGATCAAGTTTGTTTTAACCAGTGCACTTTGCTTCTAGTATAGGGGCATTTAAGCCATGCCCCAAGAAACATAAGAAACCTAGCAGTAGGTAGGGGGTGGTTGACAAAGCGCCACTTGTCGTTGTTGATTGCTTGATAATCGGTTTGGCAGTTCAGGCGTTCTTCAGCTCACGTTTCAGCACCCAGGTCCAGGTGCTGAACGACTACCACAGAGTGGCGAAAAGACGCCCAGGATGAGTTGGGAATTCCTCGCTTTCACGATCTCTGAACTTCGTATCCTCATAGAAAGGATAGAAAAACACTAGCAAGTACTACTAACATCTACTAACCTAAGAGCCATGGCCTCCATTCTACTAGCGAGGTCCATTCTACTTGCCGCTTCGACGTGCCTTTGTCATGCTTTTTTCGATGAGAAAAGTCGAGCGAAGCAAAGGACCAACGTGTACTATCCCAACCCAGAAGGATCTCCTCATTGGAGCTTTGCCCTGCACCGAGAGTGTTCGTAGGGCATTTTTCTATCTTCCGAACTGTTCTAAAAGGATCTGCGAAGGGCTTCTGTTTGAAAACGTCTCCCTTCCGCACATCCGTTTGGATTGTGTGGACTCCCCACACGCCGCGTGGATCCGCCCCAAGCGGGGCGAAGCATCGAGGTGGGCGAATTGAATCTGGGCCTGGCGACGCAGCCGCAGGCGGGAAACTGAGCCCGGATCGATTTCTCGAGCCCTGAAAGGACGGACAAGGAAATGATATTCACCGAAGTCAAGTCCAAAGAGCTTTTTGGGCACCGGAGTCTAGGAAAGGACATCCTCGACATCATCGGGTTGAAAGACCATTTTCACACTCAACACTCCCAGCATCTCTTCAGGTCGCTTTTTCCACACCGCTCCCACGTCGCTATGGGCGATTTGTGGTGGGCGCCTGCTTAATTAAGGAACTGAGGTAACTAGTACCTTACTTAAGCTACTAGCATGGACGCAGGATAGCTCACGCTTCTATTCATTTGGTTCCTAGATTTTTTGGGAAACCTTAAAAAATATAGCCTCCTTGTTCCTAATAGCGATGGCCTCCATTCTGCTTGCGATGGCCTCCACCTAATAGCTAGTGATGCCCTTTGTTACTAGTAGCTTTTTGTTACTAGTAGTATGGCCAGGAGCCCCCTAGTAGCATCCCTTTTTGCCGTCGGAGGCTCCACAGATCTTCCAGAGGCGAGACAATTCCGATTCTTCGAGCTGTCGTTGCTTTGAGCGCAGAAGTAGGCAGGCCAAAGGTGTCCCTAGTAGCGTCCTCTTGCTCCGTTCGTACTCTTGTTACTAGTAGCGATGCCAGGAGCCCCTAGTAGCTTTTGTTCCTAATAGCGTCTTGCTCCCCTAACAGCGTCTTGCTCCTAGTAGTAAGGCCAGGAGCCGTCCCTGCTCCTAGGTCATGGAAGTGATAGAAAGAAGTGTTTGGAGAACGAGTGTAGCACCTCGTCTTTTTCAGCACCCGAGGCAATCCGACTCACACCTGCGGGAGGCAAGTGTGAAGAATGACGTCGCTTCTTTGTTCAAGCGAATGGACAGAAATCCATCTGAACCCCTGAATTACAAAGTGCGGGTGGCACTTTGCATGCAGACATCACCTTTGGTAGCTAGCACGGTGTATCATAGGCTCCCAAGTCGAAGGAGGACAAGGAGCATCAGCCAGAACTGTCCATGGCCCGCAGCCTCAGTAAAGAGATTTCAATTTCCAGACTTTCCAAGAAGGTCATTGCTTTCGATTCCTGAGCTCCAATGAGAGTGTAAACATGCTAGTTCAGAGTCAGAGAGCCGTTTGTCGACTGGAACCGGAGTTCTTGCTCGGCATTCTGTTCTCCGAAGTGAAAGTCTTGGCTGCGGGGATCTGCATCTGAGGTGCAACCGAGGGCTCTTCCCAAAGATGTGGTCATCGACTGCCCTCAGGCGCGAATGGCATGGACAAGACGCCCGTCGTCCAAGCGTTGTGTTCCCGTGTACGAGCTTCGATGAGATGCAGCGACTCAGGTTTCCAGGATCAGTAATTTCTAAGATCGCTAGAAACAAATGCGAAGCTTGGAGGCCGCTCTTAGGATGGCCGATTTGACGTCGACCTTTCCCAGGAAACGGTGACTGGGGCCATGATGTCTGGAATGCTTTTGGGTCGGATGCCCAAGCGCACATACACATACTGCGCAGCATGGCTTCTCCTCACCCGTCCTAGTCGTCATTTCACATGACTTGGGGATTCTTTGAGGTAAAGGTGGTAGCTGCGACAGAACAGAAAAACCCAAGGAATTGAGTGAAAGGGTGAGCGTGCACTCCTACACTCAGTCTTCGATTGGGAGGAATCTGGGCGAGGTGTCCACGCCAAGAAACCTCACAAGTGGCCAAGAAAGCTTAGGTTTCGGGCTGTGTGTGTGTGTGCCCCTTGTAGTCACAGGGATTCTTTTGAATTTGACTTGACGAATTATTTTTCTTTTTCTTTTTTAAGCAGGGGGACACGGCACCAGATTGCAGACCGTGTCAAACAAAGCTATGCAATCTGGTGAGATATCCAGCTTGGCCAGCTGGACGTACCCTGCAACAATTTTGAGATTTGTAAAGGGCTAATGCACTCGGCAGACACGAGCGACCGTCGTCAGCTTGTCGGTTCGACCTCGCTTTGAGTTTTTGGCCTCACTTCCTTTTGAAGACCTCCAGGGTCCTTTGGTTCTTACTTGTACTCTTAGGAAATGGTACCCTAGGCCGGCGTGTGGCACCGCTGTCCAGTCAGTATGCATATCTATAAGTGTGTGGCGGTGATAGAGACTCGGCAAATGAATATGGCTTTACTCCGGAAAAACTCGCCGAGGTTCATTGTGCATGGTCGGTTGCTTGACCGGCAGCGCTTGGTATTTGACGAGGCCGCGGTTGCTACTAGGAGCAAAGGGCATCGCCACTAGGAGGACGCTACTAGGGGCTCCTGGCCTTATTACTAGGAGCAAGAAGCTATTAGTAAGAAGGGCATCGTTACTTTCCAAGATTGTTTCCCGCACGGCCCTGGGTGCAGAGATGCGTAGGCGTGCGCACGGTGAACTTCCAAGCTATATCCCCGACTTTCTCCAGGCCCGCAACTGTTGGCTTGATGGCAGAAGCTGTTTGTTCATTCATGCTCCGCTTAGCAAGACTCCCAGCTCCGCGAAACGCTCTCTCCGTTGCACAGCACCCGCTCGAGAACTACAGAGCAGAAGTGAAGCCCGGGAACTCAAGGCGAAGCAAGAGGAGCAAGGACGCTACCAGGGTTCCTGGCCTTACTTCATTTCTCCAAACTTCAAACGAATTCATTGTTTTTTAGCGGAGAGAGGCCCTATGTCATGCCCTTTTAGGCCACTGTGTCATGCTGCATTAGCTTGGTTGGTCTGAAAAGGATCCAAAAGGCTAGGGAAAGAAAAAGGCAGAGAGCCCCTCATTTCCTAAGGTCTTAGGCTGGTGAGGCTGAGTACATGGAGACCTGCTCATGTGGAGCGCTGACTTGTACAGTACAACGAGATTTGCAAGCACATAAAATCTGTGTGCTGCTCACGAAAAAGCTGCACCTCGAGGCACATCAGTACGTGGCGCACATCCTTACAAAGATCACCCTATTGTTTGTGCATGAGAAGTGAAAACTGTTTCTGTATATCGTCCAAAGAGTGAGTACCCGGACATACCATGCGACAGTACACGTCTCTCGCCAGTGACGCGAAATCTCTACAGAGAAAGATGCCAAGTGAAAGATGGTCAGAACGAAAGGAAAGGTGAAAGGAGCCGTTGGTCTCTGTTGAAGTACCCGCCAAACAGTGATGGATTTTTTTGGGATGTCCTGGAAGTGGTTTTCGTGACAGTGCCGCATTTTGATACCAGGGATTTTGGAAGATTGGACGATGCCAAACGAGGTGGGGATGATTGGGGGGTTCAGTTTGCTTGGGAACGACCGCTGTCTCCATCGGCTTAGTTGCAACTTGGAATGAAAAGGAGTTATTGGTGAAGGTCCCCGTGGTAAATCGCCTCAGGCTCAGGCTTTACTCCAAAGCCAGCCTCGGCAGGGCACCTTTCCTAGGCCCATCGCGCAGCGCTGTCTCTAGCGGCTGCGCACGGCGCTTTCTGCCATGGGCAGCCAGTTCTGGGAGCTGCACCGAAGGTTGGCGGACTGCTACCAGGAAGATCTCCGATTGGCCAAAGGCGAGCTCAACGTCCGAAAGCTGCAGGAAGGCAGCGGCCCAGACAGCCCAGGCTGGCAACGATTTTGGGACTGGGTGTCTCTTAGCACTTGTTAAGGCCCATATTCCATGAAGCTGCATCGTGCCACCCTCATCAATGATCCACAAGTATCAACCAGTGACAATTGGTAAACCACAAAATCATCATCGACCGTTAGGTGACAATCATCAAAGAAATACAACCATCAATCATCAATTGGTTCATCATATGTCGCCATTGAATAGACCTTTCCAATTCACCACCCATCTCGAAAGGTAGCTCCGTGACGTCCATCTCCGATGTGGCGGCTGCGAGTCGTTGTCACAAGTAGTCAGGCGTAGTCACGCGTCATGAGTTCACCCGCCAGTGCTGATACTGTATCGATACGTATACGACTCGTATACGACGTATACCCATTATTGCTCTCATTATTGTAGCTCTTTTAGAGGCCATCGCTAGTAGGTTGGAGGCCATTCGCTTCTAGGTTGGCCATCGAGTCACTCGCTGTGATGTCCTTGCTTAGCTTGAAGGCCTTCGCACCAGCCAGGTCTTGAGGTTGAGGAGCTGCAATCCTTTCACGAGGAAGACAATGCGCCACCTCCGCCGGTACCGATCAACGCGAGGAGTGCCAAAAGACCTGGGGTGGTTGCTTGCTCATGTGGGGTTATGCTCAACAGCAAGCAACAACTACTGATGATCATCTGTTCATGATTTGCATGGGGCAAGTCATGGCTGGTGGATTTCTTGTTATGTTACTAGTATCTTCTTGTTACTAGTAGCTACTTGCTCCTAGTAGTACGGCCAGGAGCCCCTAGTAGCTAGCGTCCTTGCTCCCAATAGCGATGCCCTTTGCTCCCAGTAGCTTCTTGTTTCTAGTAGCGATGCCCTTTGCTCCTAGTAGCTTCTTGTTACTATGTTTGCATCCAGGAGTTTGCCGAATTCCAATTGTGCTTCTCCGAGCTCTCCGGGGTTCACTACATTGAAGTCTCAGCACTCCATTTCAAGGCGCTGTGGGAGAGACGTGGATGTTCCGTCCCCAAAGCCAAGAACCTGGAGGTTCCATTCCTTTTGCTGTACTGTAGTGTGTGTGTGCAAAGTTGCAAACGAACATGCGTCGGCATGTGCGTCAAAGCATTTTGCCCCTCCCCTTTCGCCCTTCAGGTTGAGGTCCAGCAGCTTCTTGAGCTCGGCGGGATTGGACGACAAGCTAAAGGTACCATGGCCGAGCCCAGAGAGAGAGAGAGAGAGAGAAAAAAAAAAAGAAAGAAGAATGGAGGACATAGCAGACTAAGAACGATTGATTTTGTTTGTTGCTTTTGGATATCATGTCCTGTGAGTCAGGTAACCCTGCTCGTTGGTGTGTGTGTGTGTGTGTGTACCGCAACACGAATGTACATATAACATTGCGTTGCATTACATTTCATATGTCATACACGTTTGAAAAAGTAATAAGACAAAAGTTTCCCCGCCCACAAAAGCCTATTTGCTCGGTTCTATGTGCAGAGCAGAAGAGCATGGTGTAATTAGTTCTTTTCTTGGCACCTGGATGTATCATACATGTCCGTTTGTATGAAAGACTGCACTTCGTTGGTGGGGAGATGTTTTGTGTTTGTACGATTCTGCTTGGGGGCTTGACAAAAAGACCCAGTAGGAGGCTTGGCGACTTGTTCTGACATGTAACACAACGTCACAAACATGTTTCTTCCGCTCGTGTAGTTCCCAGGTTGGAGGCCATCCCTAGTACGTTGGAGACCATTGAACAGGAAAAAAAAACGTTTTTCATGAGAATAGAACTACTAGGAACAAGGACGCTACTAGGAGCAAAGGGCATCGCTATGAACAGTGCGATCGGACGCCAGTAGGGGCAGAATCGTTGATGTGGCCACGGTTACCACGGTTCGAAGAAGCCGATGCTTTGAGGTTCCACGTCAGGGGACCGGCGTGGCCAACGTGGCCAACGTGGTACTGACCTCTCTCAAGGCCGCGATGCGAAAGCAAAGCCGAAAACGTGAACTGACAAGATTCAATTGTTCATATTCTTTTGAGGTGGGATGATCACAAGCAAAGGGCATCGCTACTAGGAACAGTATTCAGATGATGAGAATGATGCGAATTGTGGTTTTGATCATGATGGAGGTTCTCCAACGTAGGTTATTCACCAGTTCAAGGTATGGCGACGACCCAATGCTGAGTGCTTTGATCCGATTCCACATTCAGTGATCATTGTTTAAAACCATTCTGTTCTCGTCAATCATGTTTTCTATTCCTGTTCAATGGCCTCCAACCTACTAGCGATGGCCTCCAACCTAGTAGCGACTTAGTATTAGTGATCATTGTTGGAAACCATCCAATCCTTGAGTGACCCAATTTGGAATAGCCACTAAAGTGGCCAGGAACGTGCCAAGAACGCGCAACAGATGGCGCTGAATCTGGGGAGTCACTCCATGGGCTCCTCAAACAGCGACAATCAGCTGGCCGTGCTGGGTGTGTGGCAGGAGGACATGCGCAAGGAGCGGCATGTTTGGTTCTTTTTGGATTCAAAGAAAAAGTGTGAAGCATTGATTCAGGCGAGATGCTGCAACTTGAAAGAGACCAGTGTGAGAAAAAGTGGTCAAATATCGACAGATTGAGATTCTGCTTGAAAAGAGACCTGACCGCGAAGGAATACCAGTTCTCCACCAACAGACGAGCATCCAAGACAGCTGTGTTAACAGTCACTTCGACATCGGAGAAGACGAAGCAGAGCTGCAGATGAAGTTGTATGTTCGTGCTTCGTTCTCCACATGTGAAAAACTGCCAGTAACCAAAAGCTTCTAGCAACAAAGGGCATCGCTACTAGGAACAGGGACGCTACTAGGGGCTCCTGGCCTTACTACTAGCAACAAGAAGCCACTAGTAACAAAGGACATCGCTAGTGATTCAGCGTCTCAGGAAAGTCGACGATGTGAAAAATGTGCGTGAGATGAGAGCCTTACATCCTGCTGGCCATTTCAAGACCATGTGGAACATGCTCGTAGCAGCATGTGTGCTGCACGATTTGGTGATCATTCCAGTGCCCTTTGGGCAGCAAGGAGTCGAAATGAGATCGCACAGGGCGCCAGCTGCGCCAAATCCATCGAAATTCAGTGGGGTAATGCGAGCAACCTGAGCTAGCAGCAGCTACTGTCACTATTGGAAATGGCAATAAAAGTTATTAGGGTGTCCATAACCACAACCACTCATTACGCCATATATGGGCAAGAGCTGATACATTCACCGAATGTACAATGTATAAGCCCAGAAGAATCCAAAGGCTAGCTGGCACCCAATTCTGTGACTGCTTCATACCTTGTGCCACTCAAATGACCGCTTAGGTATGTGTTTGATCCGCCAGAGAATGTGCCGTTGAAAGTCTTGGAATGGATGACGCAAATCTTTTGGCAAGCTGATCTGATCGTGGGTGCCTTCACAGGCTTCTACCGCCGGGGAACCTTGATCCTGGACATCCGAAAAGCCGCATGGCAATATCTGGTCACCTGGGGCGTCTTTGATTTTCTCCTGGTCATCATGGGTTGGCTCTTCATCTTTTTGGACCTTGTGGAAGATGCTGCTCGGTCCCAAGTGCCTTCCCGATTCCGCCGTTCGCAACCGGACACCGATCGGTGTACACCGAGGATGGGCAAGCGGATTTGATCGCCTGGTCTCGAACTCTTCGGGCCATTCGCTTCTTGCGCTTCGTGCGCGTCTTGCGATGGCTGAAGCTCAGGGGGGTCACAGAGGCCTTCAAGGAGCCGAAGGGTAGGGAGTGTGGAGCGTGAACTGTGCAGGAAGGCACTAGCAGAGACCAACCTTTTTGGCAAGCATGCGGATCCTGAATTCAAAAAGAAACAACCAGACGGGTGAGAGGTGGTGCAGCATGTAATCTGGATTCTTTGCTCAAAGCCCAAGAAGCATGAGCTAAGGCAGGGTTCATTGGAAGTAGTGGTGCTTTTTGGAGATATGATTTTTTTCCAGAGTCTTCGTGTTCTGTTTTCAAGTCTCCAAGTTTTGCCCGACTGGCTGTGTAAAGCGTTCGAAGTATGGCCACAAACCGCAGTCAGTACGTGTGCCACACGCTTTTCTGCGCACTGGCCACCTTGGTGTTGCTCAAGCAGATTAGAGACCATACCTGAGAGCAGGTGGATCCTTTGATTGAAAGGCTCCAGGAGACTCTTGGCGCCCGGGTTCTGGCACAAAACCAATGTTCAAGCAACTAGAGGCAAGTTGCACTGCTAGCAAGACCTTGCTACGCAAATGGCAACAGCCGTCCAGGTGATGAGCCAAACTGTGCGTGCACATGGGACCAAGTTCAAGGCCAAAAGCATCAAGAGCAACATCACGAACTATAATAAGCTGCTCTCAAACTCATCCAGTTATGCAAAGTGGAGGAAGAATTCGCAGCGTGTCCTCCCACAGACTGCACAGAGTACAGTGACTTTTTCATCAAGTTGACAGTGGCGCACCAACAGCATAGCCATAGCTGTTGGTACACTGTTTGGTAGATACATTCGTTTAGTCGTTGAAAGCGAATTTGACAGCGCAACGCAAGTGCAAAGGTAGGGTCTGACGAATTGTGGCAGGAGCTTTTTCATTCCAACACGGCCTTTTTCTACTACAGCCTTGTGAGTGCAGGGGTGCGGCTTTTGATATTGAATCACTTGCTGGCTTGCTGTTGGTGGGGCATTGCGCTCATCTATCCAGACCAGAACTGGGCCAGGCCTGCAAGAAATCAACCGGTTGTCAACCCATTCATCGTTGTCATTTTCCAATCCGAAGCTTTGTTGTTTTGTGAGTCTTCAGGCGCTGTCTAGGCGATTTACTTCAGTGCTTGTTTCGGGCCTTTGGTCAATTGGGTCATCTCGAAGCTTGTGTCAGTGCAACGTCGAAGCTGAAGTTGGTGTTCGTAAAGAATAAGACTGTTACTGTTAGGATCTATTAGGTATCGCTAGCTTGGAGGCCATTGCTAGGGAGGCGGGGAGCGGGCTCAACAATTCCTAACTCGTGGCCTTTCTCTTTGTCCAGGGCCAGCGGGCTCTGGGATGCCTCGGTCTTGGACCAGTACTTGACGAGTTTGAATTGGAGTTTCGCGATGCTGGGTGTCGGCTTGAGCTCCATCAGGACCACCAATACCTTGGAGATCGCCTTCTTCGTGATCGTCGCCTTTCGATCCTTAATGACTTATGCCACCCTAGTGAGCTCGATCACCAGTTTGACCAGTGCTCTAAGCAAAATCAAGGAAGATGAAACCTCTGAGTTTCGCTTGCTGAGATCCTACCTGGCTTACAACAACATCGGAGCTGAGTTGAGCCACAAGATCTCGCGCTTTCTGCAGCACCAGTACCATTTGAGGCAGGAAGCCAAGTCCGCTCATGCCAATGTGCCTCTTTTGGAGCTGCTGTCTCCAACTCTAAGACGGGAACTGGAATATGCACGAAACGCCGGATCCATGGAGAAGCTGGATTTTATTGCTGAGCCTCTTGGTGTTTGTGCGATTTTTTGGCACCAGCTTTTTGCATCATGTGTTCATGCTGTAAATCTACAAAACGTCATGCTTTTCTGCACTTAGGTACTTAGTCCTTAGCAGTTTTGTGACTGTTGAAGTGTATAAAGAGAATGCAGAAAATGATCCAGTTCAACATGAATCTGTGAGAATTCGATGAAACGACTTCCGTTTCCACCAAAAAACTGAGGCTTCTTCCAACGGACGACTTGCAGGTCCTGCAGGTCTTGCAGGATTTAGCGGTGAATGCGATGACCGATCTGGTGGCGGCCACCAAAGATGTGATCTTTTTGTGTGGCAGCACGGCAAGCCATGCATTCCTCAAGATCAATGGCCCATTGAGTTGCCTTGTCCGCAAGCTGTCGTCTTCGTTTTGGGGGGTTCCAACACCAAAAAACACCAGAAACTCCTGAGGCTACTTCTCGAGTCAGGACGACGAAGAGCATCAAGTCTCCGTGACGGAGGAGTCGTGGATCGCGGAGATTTGCTTGTGGGTAAGCTGGGTCTATCAGGGTGATCTAGTGGCGGAGGACGTCTCTCGCTTCTTGGAACGAGCATATGACTCATGAACAAGTTTGTGTTTGTTCGAAAGTTTTTGTTCGAAAGTCTCGGAGTTTTGGAAGTTGTTGGAGTTGGAGTTGAGGCTTAGTCCTTTTGGACGTGGGCGCCTTCTGTCGCATTGTGTCCCAGTGTTCCACCACGCATCGTGCCGCCATCGGTTACAGCAGCCTCTTCCTCAAGGCCTGGTGCACTTGGTCCAAGCAGATCCTCGGCCGATGAGCTGAACCGAATCGTAACAAGGACGCTACTAGTAACAGGTGCCTTACTAGTAGTAACAATAAGCTACTAGGAACAAGTGCATCGCTACTAGTAACAAGTGCCTTACTAGTAGTAACAAGAACCTACTAGGAACAAGTGCATCGCTACTAGTAACAAGTGCCTTACTAGTAGTAACAAGAAGCGACTAGGAACAAGTGCATCGCTACTAGTAACAAGTGCCTTACTAGTAGTAACAAGAAGCGACTAGGAACAAGTGCATCGCTACTAGTAACAAGTGCCTTA